AAAAGTAAAGAAAAAAGTTGGGAATCAGCACACGTGTGGTGTCGAACTCCTGACGCGACAAACATGCGTGTCTATTAACTCACAAGCCAGATTCAATGCATCTCATCCGTGGCACCTACAAAGGAGAGTTTGGTGCCACGTGGCTAACAATGGAGTCGTAGATTCCTGTATGTTTCTTGTTAGGTAGCCGTCAAACACGTTGCTTGTGTCGATTCGTAAAGGCAGGAACTGAGGAAGGAAGAAGTTGGGAATGATAGAGAGAGAAAAGAGATCTCTCTTTACTTCTTTAGTTTATGGGAGAGAAGTTTATAAAGTTAGGTTTCATCAATCGAAGTAGGGACGATTATAGACTGAAAAGCTGAAGAGAAGATGGTCGTCAAAAACAATGAGAGAATAAATAAAGAAAGCTGGCCTGATTACTTGCAAAGAAAGAAGCTTGGAAGGAAAGGTTCTTTCATGTTCTCGATCTATCTGTGTCTTTTTTTTGTTTTTTCTCCTGTTCTTTCTCTGCGAATCAAAACCAGTAATTTTTGAGCATCTCCAAGGCCTCCGGTTTTGACCATTAAACCCTCAAAGAAAATAAAAAAGAAGAGGGGAAGAGATCCAGCACAAGAAAGAAATTCTAAAATGCTTGAAGCATGTGAGGGAATTGCGAATGTCATGACCAGCAACGAATCTTATTCTTTCTTAATGGACTAGCTCAAAAATATCAAAGGAACCAAAGACGGAACATTTTTAACAATTCAACTAGTTTTAGTCTTTGGTGTGTCGTTGGGTTTGTTTATTTGTTCTTAAGCTTATTCTCTCTCTCTCCTCCTTCCCACACTATTTGCTAATAACTCGGCCCTTGGACCTACTAGTGTGCGTCTCTCCATGTACAAACTCCTAAAACCCAAGAATTAAGCTAACTTGAGTTGATCCCCTATCAGTAGTCTATCACTAACTTCTCTGAAAACACTGTGATTTGAAAAAGAAAAGGGAAGAGCTAGAGGAGTTATAAAAAAAGAAAGAAAATGAAGAGAATCAAAAGCTTTCCATGTTCGGCTACAACCACAAGACTAGGTTCAGGGAAGAGAACCATGAACATAAAGACGAATTGTCCTGTCGGAAAAACCAGACCATCTCATAAGTCATAACCCATCATCTTCTCTCTATCTTTGCTCTATCGACTGACAACGAGGGTAGAAATACCAACAAGTGTTCTTGGACTACGTGTTTCTTTTACTTTTTAACACCTCCAACACAATTTAATAATAAAACGGGTAATGGGACGACTTGGGGAGAGAATACAGACAATGCCAGATGGCTGGCTTTCGATCTTTCATGCTGCAGACCCTTCCAGGACGGAACAAGAATCACGGATACGTAGCCACGTATACCTCGAGAAAAAAAAGAAGTGAAGAACAAAAAAAAGCAACAAGAATGTCACTTAAAAGCACCACCACGCCCTGAAAAAGAGAGTGCGACTACAATCCAGATTCCACCAGAGCTCCTCGGTTGATAAAATTGAAATGCATTTAGAGTATCTTTTATATATGATGAGTAGGGTGAAGTCAAGTCAATAACTGTAAGCATTATAGTAATTGTAAGTTACAGAATAGAGAGAGAGAGAGCTTTTGATCCATTTTAACAGTGCAATTTCTATGCCCTCCTCAAATTTAATCCATACTGAGTTTTAAATTTTAATAGATGAAAAGAAAAGGAAAGAAAGGGTATTATTGTCATATAAAATTTTATGGATTTATTTGTTTTGTTTTTTTTTGTTTTTGTAATTTTGAGGAGTTGAATATTGTATTTTTTATTAATTAATTGGGAGTTGGGACTGAGGGTTCGTGTTGTCTTTTTACTCTTTTTCTTTGTTTTGGATTGGAGGCTTTACTTTTGAGGTGTTGTCCTCTAGTTTTCTAGTCCTCGAGTCGTGAAAGCCCTTCCTCCCAGAGTCGATGAATGTAGTCATTCAACATCATCATCTTCATCATCATTTCCCTTGTTAATGGATAAGTGGGGTCGGTAGCAATAATTCTGTTTCATCTTATTCTCTGACATTGTGTCTTACTTGCGAATTGGATAAATCTTTTATTTACTTCTAATTTCTTCTCCAACTGTTGTTTTGGGAGTTGGGATTTGCACGGAATCACTAATTCTGAATACAGCACATTCTTTAACACTCCTTTCACATTATCAAGTTAAAAGATGTATATATCATTTATTTTTATGTGCTTCTGTGATCTGTCTCTCACTGTGTCTCACTCTCTGTCTCTGTCTGGCTGTCTATGTGTCTGTGCGTACTTTGTAAACAAAACATTTATTATATATCTATATAATAAGATCCTCCCCCCCCCTCTCTCTCTGCTTCTGCTGCTTATCTATTGGCATGCAAACTCTATATTGTACAATTGGTGGGTACCAGGATCCAATGTTTCTGAATCCCATAAATCAAATTAATTAAGAAAAACATAAGGCACAGTCAAGTGAACTAAGTGAAAGAGCCTATTGTTGGATATTTAAAGAGTGAAGAATTGTGATTTTAGTGGTTTGTCTTTGAAACATGCATAGAATGCAAACTCATCATCATGCCAAATAGTTTTTCATATATTAAGCAATGAGGTTTAACTTCTCCATCCACTGGTGGCACTTTTCCTTCAATGTCCCATGAGGGCATGGGAAGTGTTACACAAATGTGAGAAGAAGTTGGCTAAGTGACCGTCACGAGTGAACATGCCAGTGTTGCCAAGGCCGTCGGAGCTGGGGATTTTCAAGGCATAAGGGGGCCATGGCTCCCCTCTGCCCCCTGAGTGTTCCGAACATATGGTGTGGGCATCATGTGTACAGAATACTGACATATCCCCCCCTTTAATTGGTTACTTACCCAGGTTTGCACACTTGTGTTGGCACCACATCCAAACTTTATTATGACTTATGACTACCTTCCATACATGAGAAATACAATATATGCTCCCACATGCAATGCGAGTTATAAAAGATGAATGGATAAATTAATAAATGAAATAGAAAGGAAAGGAAAATACAATTCTCTTCTTACTATCTTAGCATTTGATGTATGTATAGTAATTGATAACCCTCAAATCTCTAGCTCCTCAAATTAAAAGTCTGCATTTCTATATCTAAACCTAAGATACTTGTTGAAGTTTACATTAGGTGCATCTTGATTATGGAGAAACTAATGTGATCAAAGACATAGCATTTTGGAGAATGCAGAAATTATTACCAAATAAAAGGTATGATGAATAAGACATTGGTGTTCATAATCCCCTTTTAGTCTGAGCATAAACCTTAGCATATTTGGAGAGTGAACATCTTTCTTCCTAGCTCCTTGTTGAAAATGATTAAATCCAGCATCTCCTCTCCCAATAAACCAAATAGCCCCAAAGAAACCAAAATGCATACTTCGTTTTAAAATAAGGGCTGGCTAATAGTTGAAATTAAAATATAAGGCCCAATAAAGGTCATGCTACAAATTTCTAAAACTAATAAGCAACATCCTTCTTGGGTTTAGAATGATGAAATTCTTCTATCTTCATCTTGTGTTATCAAGTCATGGGAGGGGGTATCACATGCGAACTTATTAAATCCTTCTATCCCTTCATCTTGCATTCGTCGTAGACCCAATGCCATTCTTTAGGCTCAGTTTGGAAAGAGTACAAATGCATATATGTATGGTGCAAATACATACAAAATAATACAAAATTTATGGTTTTGCACTCTACATATTTGCATTTGTTTGTATTCCTTCCAAACTGGAGCCTTAGTGGGAAGTAAAGCTTCGAAACCTATGCTACTTTAAGATTTATTAGAAAGGGACACTCCAAGGGTTTTCATTTAAAAATGGTATTTGCTTATTAATCTAATTAAGTAGTATAATATATTTTATTTAAGATATTTGTGTTGTTTTTAGAATGCCCGTCATACTTATCACGGCATTGTAAAAATGAAAGATGTGACACCATCCATGACATTATATGGCTATATATGCTGATTGATGCCAAAAAGAAATCTATGCATGGTAACTAACAAAATATTATGGTTTCTTTTGTAAGGATGATAATATTTTAATTTCATTTTTAATAACAATTAATTGTTTCTTGTCAAATCAAAGATTAAAATACTGGATTTAAACCGAGAGAGAGAGAGAGATTCATCCTACTTAGGGTAATGATAGAGTTACTAAGAAATTCTTTTAGGGTAACACCACTTGTGAGAACGGGTTTAGGGTATTAACCACTTGTGAACTGGAAAACATGGGAGACTATTTGAAGTGTTAAGTGAAGTAGCTTTTGGGGAGGGATGAGGGTTGTTTAACCTTTAAAGTTAAACTGTATATTACCTTTATTATGGTTGTGTTATCACACACATCATTGTTGATTGTATTCACGTATATTAAATTCGAGCTACAGGACTAACCAGCTGCTGGTTTTGTTATTTCTGGTTAGGTTGGAGCTGCTAGTTTCTTCGAGCTTTACAACGGGCGTTTCATCCAAAGCCTTTCTCTCTCTCTCTCTCTCTCAAGGTCCCCCCTCTCCCTCTCCCAAACTTAAAGTCTTAATCAAGAAGTTTTACCAATTCGGGTAGGTTACTGTTCGTTTTAACTTTGGTTTATTACATTCCACGATTAGAGATCAGGTCTGGCGATCCGGCGGTCCGGTTCGGACTTGACATCTCATTATGAAACCTGTTTTTGGAAAGAACCCGAAATCCGTGGGTTCGACTTCAATGTATAGGTCGTATCTCCACGTGGTACGATCCACGTGATCTACGATTGTCATGTCCACGTGGAACATTTGCCAGCTCATCGTAGACGATGCTGTTGTTGTGACGGCGAAGACGGCGCATGAGTCCAATTCTAATGTGGGGCCCATGTTGGACACTCAGGATTTCCGGGGCCCGTCTTGTTATGGGGAGTGGACCACCCTCTTTGGTGTTAAGAGGAGAGGCTTCGTTGGTTTGTGTCCTGCAAGCAACTCTATAAATTGACCAGACGCGGTTCTATCTCTCACTCCCCTCCGACATCGCTCTCCACTCCATTCTCTAACTTCTATTAAGTCGTCTCTCTTTTGGAGCCCAGCGTCCCTCTCTCTCTCTCTCTCTCCTTGACTGTGTGGTTTTCTGTTCGCGATTCCCTATTGAGTTAGTTTTCTAACCCTGACACTTAACCCAAGAAGCTACAGAGCATAAGCAGAACCCCCCTTTTCTCTGTTGCTTCTTCTTCTTCCTCGTCTACTACCAATTCTTCCTCCTATCAACCTTATATTCTAATTTGCTCAGTCTCTTCTTCACACGGAGGTTGGGAGATTCTCAGGTATTTGGGGTTGTAATGTTAATCTGTCGGATTGGTATTTATGGGGTTTGAATTTTGAGTGGTCTTTAATCGAACGAGCAATAGCAATCTGGTTTTGAGTCTCTGAATGGTTCTACGTTGTTTTTGTAGTGCATTCGATTGAAGGAAAGAAATGACGAAGCAGAACGTTGTCGTTTCCGATGTGAAGTGCGGGATTAATGATATGATCTCAGTCGTGCCGAAGGGGTCTCTGTTTCCCTCGACGGGACAGAAGCCACCCAAGGCACCAGATGGGTACGTAAGCATTTCTCGCAATAAGTTCTTGAAAAAACTCGAAACAGGGGGAGGTGCCAGAATCAATCCCTGGGTTGAATCCATGAGAGCCTCTTCTCCTACACATATTAAGTCCAACCCATCTCTGTCTTCGACTGTTCATCAAGAAGACTCCTGGATTGTAAGTAGAAGTGCCCTTCAGAAGCTTTCATAAAAACTTCATCTTCTTCTGTTATTTTCTTGGACAATGACTGATACGGTTTCCTTGTTGAATTACTGGAAACCGCAAAAGCAGCTTGATCATCCTTCTGCCTTGAACATGTTCGAGCAGATCATGAGTGCTTCAAAAGGAAAGCAAATCGTCATGTTTCTCGACTACGATGGTACACTATCGCCCATCGTGGACGACCCAGATCGAGCTTTCATGTCCCGGGCGGTTAGTTATTCTGTTCTTTTGTTGCTTGGATTCTGAAAAATTTCTTCCATGTATCTATAGCTTGACTTTCTTTTATCTTCATTTCCTTTCCGTTACTCACCACTTTCTGTTGCTTTTTTTTTTTTGGTCTGGTTATACAGATGAGGGCAGCCGTAAAAGCCGTGGCAAGATACTTCCCCACTGCCATCGTGAGTGGAAGGTGCAGAGACAAGGTATTGTACAATCATCATTTGCTTCCAAAGATCTAAATTTGAGTCTTTGGATTCAAACCATCTCCACCTCTAGTGATCACTTAACCCACGAGTCCACGAGTATTTCTTTTTGGGTCCATTTCTAATTGAAAGATTTTTTTTTTTTTTCCCTTTGCTTTAAAATTTGCAGGTTTACAGCTTTGTACGTTTAGCAGAGCTGTACTACGCAGGTAGCCATGGAATGGACATTAAAGGACCAGCCAAAGGTCCGAGATACAGCAAAGTGAGTAGTACTGCAGCAACAAACCATTATTACTCTTTATTTCTATCTAAAATGATGTCCGCTTCCCTTCTAACAACGTTTTTCTTTAAAAATTTATTTTGGGACTTTTCAGGGTAATGAGCCAGTTCTCTTCCAACCCGCCAGTGAATTCTTACCCATGATAGATGAGGTTGGCTTTCTCTTAAATTATCTAATATATAAACTGCAATAATATCACTTTCACTAAACAGATCCAAAATAATAATGTACTAAAGCTCTACTTTTTTGCTTTTCCTTGTGGGGTTTTGGTTATAATGCTCAGGTGTACAAAGCATTGGTGGAGAAAATCAAATCCATCCCAGGAGCCAAGGTGGAGCATAACAGGTTCTGTGTGTCTGTGCACTTCCGCTGTGTTGATGAAAAGGTATCAATTATCAATCCGAGCCATTCCTTGTTTATTTATTTCAGTAATGTATATATTAATGTAAGATTTTTTAAGTTGAATATATGCCTTCCAAAAGATATTTAGTTTGAATAGATGCATGGATTTCAGAAATGGGGTTCACTAGCGGAGCAGGTTCGAGCTGTGCTCAAGGAGTACCCAAAGCTTCGACTGTCTCAAGGGAGGAAGGTAAGACGCGTGGAATCCATTTACTGGTTACCATGCTGTTCTCTCTCTCTCTAGATAGAGTGGTTGAACTATAGTGTCGTGGAAATGAGTTTGAGATGTCTGACTTGATTTTATTGTTGTTTCTTGTTCCACAATAATAACAGGTACTTGAGATCCGTCCGACTATTAAATGGGACAAAGGGAGGGCCCTGGAATTTCTGCTGGAGTCACTCGGTAAGTTTTTATTTAAAACTCTCACAAAGTCTATTTATTAGTTAAGTTTCTGTTTGTCTGTTTGTTTGAAGTTGGGTCTTAATGTAATTCCGAGCTTTATGAAAAAAAGTGTTAGAAGCAAGTAATTCACCCCACCTTGAAATATTTTTCTATTATTAAGTTTACAATATAATATAATATATAATTGTGACCTCGGACTGTTTACTAATTTGTTTGTTTATTATTCACTTGTTCTAGGGTACGCCAACTGTAGTAATGTTTTGCCTGTTTATATTGGAGATGATAGAACAGATGAAGATGCATTCAAGGTATCCAATGTTATGTTTTCAATTAATCTAACCCATATTCTGCTTTTTATATATATGAATTATTGCACTTGTCCTTTTCTATATTATTATATTATTAATGGAACATAAATGATGCATTAATTATTCTATTTTCTTTGATCTCATTAGGTTTTGCGCGATAAAGGACTAGGTTTTGGAATTCTTGTGTCTAAAATTCCAAAAGATACAAATGCTTCTTACTCTCTTCAAGAACCATCCGAGGTGAGAACTTAACTCTCCATGCATTTTATTTTATTTTTCTCTTTTTGATATTTTTAATTTCCATTGCAATAAATTAAGCTTTTGATATATTAATTCATTTGTGATCGGTTTTGTTTGTTTTCAGGTGATGCTCTTCTTGCACCGTCTGGTGGAGTGGCAAAGACCGTCACGAGGGCGCCCTCGAGAGTCTAAAATTTACAATACAAGCACATAATCCGAGCAACTCTCCTACCCACAACCCACCCCCAAAAATATAAGGGTGAGAATGGGAAGATAAATTGATAATATGTATTTTTCTTCTTGTTTAGAGAAATAGAAATGAAAGCGAAAAAAGGAAAGAGGCTTGTTTTTTTCTCCATGGCTTAAAATGGAAGCCTTGCACCGCTTTGTAAGTTGTAAGTAGCTAGCTACTTTTATGTACAAGCAGGAAAAGAAAAATACTTTAATAAAAATATAATCTTGCTAATTGTCTCTCTCTCATATATTTGTTTATGGAATGTTCGAGGGGTTGGTTGGGTGTAACTTGGGAAGTAGGGTTTGAACGTTGAAATGAAAAGTCAACTAATAAAAGCGTATCTTCTGGCAAGTGCCAACCCTAATAATATTGAATGGACAAAGGCAAAGGTACGACACAACCCGTGAGCTGAAGGCTGAAGGCTGAAGGCTGAAGGTATTTCCCAATTACCACCCCACCAACCCTTTTACGTTCACGCCGCTATTTGCATTAAAAATCACAACCAGCAGAGCAGCATGTTCTGAAATACGTGTGTTGACCAATTGGGAACCAAGCCCGGCCCCGGCTAAATGCCAGCCAGCCCATACGAATTACGAAAACACCTTCCAAACTGCTAAACTCCAAAACACGTCCATAGGTTCTTCATCATGTTCCATGTATGTTTTTCCCTACATTGAAAAGCACAATCGCTTAATATTCAGCTAGATGATGCACCAAGTTGTTGAGGCAGACATTCAACTGCAATTTCTCTCTTTTGCCATGTGGTACCTACATCTTAACCTAACTTTTGCACGGACTAATTAATAATATTGGAGGTTATATATGACTCATCACAGACACAGACACAGACACAGACTGACTGCAGTGTTGACTCAGACTTCTCTGACTTTTCAATACATTTTGAGTCTTCAGTCTTCACACGGTTGAGGTCTCCCATACCCCCACTTCCATTTCCACTTTTGCAACTTTAATTATTAACAAGTATTATGACATGAGGTTTCCCCATACCCCCCTAATACATTAATACTGCTTATTTTTATTCTTCTTAATTGTAATTTCAATTCTCACTCTTTACTCTCTTCTTAATTATAATGCTTGAATTAATTGTCTACGCTCTTAATTATGGACATTCCTTGTTAGACGAGGAGAAAATCTTTGAAAGTTATATTATAATTAATGAGAACCCTTGAAAGTTATTTTAGTCAAGGAGAATCTTTGGAGGAATAAACATCTAAGGAATCTTTGAAAAACTATATATAGTTTTAACTTTTAAAAATCCAGGATACTGACCGGTAGGCAGTAGGTTACTGTTTCATGACCTCTCCAGTCTCCCCCACCCCCATATCTCATTATCTTGTACTCTCTCAAGAAGAGAAGAGAAGAAAAGAAAAAACCACTAACGGTATGCACAAAGATAGTATATATATTCTTTTACCTCATTCACATGTATATCCATCTTACAATTATTTGTACACATAAGATCATCAGACCCTTTATGATTGGACTACGGGATTTGTAGATAACTTGTGGACCTCATCTACATGATCGTGACAGTGGTCTTGACTCTTGAGAATGGTCCCTGTTTGGTTCTTTTGTTTTCATTTCATGTTGATTCGAGGCGTGAATCCTCCGAGGAAATAAAGCCAATATTGAGACTGAGAGGGCCCCAACTTTGTATTCAGTGTTAAGTGTGATGCTCATAGTGCTTATTGCTATACATTCAACGCTAAATGTTAATTTCCCCATTTATTTGTTTGCTTCTTCAAGTTATTAGAAATCTTGACCGCCAATAACTAAGTAAAGTAATAATCATCCAATATCCTTCTGTTTTCAATCATAGAGCAGCATTGTAGCCATCACCCACATTTTGCAGTAAATGGTCGAAGAAAACACTCTCCATCGTTCTCTCGTTTCTTTCTCACTTAACCTATTATGTTAAGTTATTATTCATCAACACTCCTCCAGCACTCCCCCTCTTATAAGAAAAAGGTGGTCTTAGGGCAATAATTGATGCAACTTTGATTGATTAGAAGCATAAACAAAACGTTCTCTCTTCCAATTTCAACAAAAACTTTGACAATGCCACTCTAGCACAATTATATATATATATATATATATATATATATATATATATATATATATATT